GATGGCCTCTTTAATAAACTTTTCTAAGATCTTCCCCGGGATAGAAGTCAGGCTGATAGGCCTATAGTTAGCTGGATCCACTTTTATCCCCTTCTTGAACAAAGATAGGCACCCCATTGGTTGTCTATCTTGAAAATAGGCGCCACATTGGTCTTCTTCCAGTCTATGGGCACTACACCACAGCGCCAGGAGTTTTCAAAGATCTGTGCCAGGGGCTGGGCTATGATGCTCGACAGGTCCTTGAAGTACCCTGTGTAGACTGTCAGGGCCGGCTGACTTGAAGGTATCCAGCGTTTCAAGGTGTTCCTTCATGAGGTCGGCATTAATGGAGGGCAGGAGATCTCCCTCACCCGGACCTCCCTGTCCCGGAGTAGGCATGGGCGTCCCATGGGACTGATGAAAGACCGACGCAAAGTACCCATTTAATAGTTGACTTTTTCCTGGGCGTCAGGTGTCAGTTGCCCCATCTGGTTCAGCAGGGGTCCAATGTTGCCCTTGTTTTTCCTCTGGCTCCCCACATATCTGAAAAAGGACTTTTTGTTGTCCTTGATGCTCGAAGCTAGTTGGAGTTCAGTTGCAGCCTTGGCTTTCCTGGTTTGCTCCCTGCAGGACCGGACCAGTGCAGAATAATCCTCCTTGGAGGTGAATCCCATCCTCCATCCTTTGTAGGCCTTTCTTTTTAGCCTCAGGAGGTCTGCTAGATCCCTGGAGAGCCAGGGGGGCTGCTGTGCCCTCTTGCTGCCTTTCCTCCGAGATGGAATAGACTTAGCTTGTGCATTGAGGATCGCTCCCTTGAGGAGCAACCACTCTTCTTGAACTCCCCTCTCCCTGGGGTCGTGGTCCCTTAGGGCCTCACTGACAAGCCTCCTGAGCTTGTCAAAGTCAGCTTTCCTGAAGTCAAGGACTTCCGTGTTGCTGACTGACTTGCCAGCTTTACGGCGGATGGTGAAGGTGATCAGCTCATGGTCGCTGTCACCCAGCTTCCCATCAATCACTAGGTCGCTGATTAGGTCATCCCCAGTAGCCAGTACCAGGTCAAGCAGCGCTTTACCTCTCATTGGCCCATAGATTTCTTGAGTCAGGTAGAGGTCATCCATGCATGAGAGAAAGCTTTGTGACCTCAGATTTTGCTGAGTGATCCTCCCACGAGATGTTCAGGTAATTGAAGTCACCCATGACAACCATGGTCCTGGAGCATGCGGCCTCAGCCAGTTCCCGGGCAAACACCTGGTCAAGCTCTTGACTTTGGGTGGGAGGTCTGTAGTAGACTCCTACCATTGTGTCCCCTGTGCCATGTTTCCCACAGATTTTAACCCAGAGGGTCATCCACCCTGGTCGCCAATATCAGCTTGTAGGGACGTGTAGCTTTCCTTAACATAGAGCGCTACACCCCCGCCCCTTTTATCTACACAATCCCTCCAGTCATGGGTGGAGTCTCACCAGGTCTCCGTTATCCCTATGATGTCATAATTATTTGCATTGGGCAAGAGGACGAGCTCCTCCTGCTTGTTCCCCAAGCTCCTGGCATTTGTGTACAAGCAGGCAAGTGTCCCCTTGGGGGTTCTTGTCTTGGCCACAGATTGTACCAGGGCTGGGGCAGGGGTGGGCTCCCTTAAGTGCCTTGGCCTGCTGACTTTGCAAGGGTTACTCAGTGGGCCAGCAGTAGTGGTAGCCCCACCCCCCCAGCAGGCTTAGTTTAAAGATAAAACACTTCATCATGGGACAAAGTGCAATTGTTCAAACATCCACATCCATTGTTCCTGGACAAACCCTGGAAAGGTTGACAGGATAAGAAGTGCTAACAGTTCATCTTGGGACATCTCTAAGTGTGTCCCAGAACAGTTATCCCAGAATTGCACTAATCAATCAATAGCAGAAATATGGAACTACATTCAGCCACTCACTAAACCCTTACTGTGTACATGCCAATCCTGGAACATTTCTGTCCTGGGACAAATATAGGCACAACTTGTTCTGGGACAAATGTAACATTTATTCCAAGCCCTAGAGATTTTCATTTTGGGCTTGTTAAAGAAAGAAATTAGTTTCATATTCAATCCAAATGGACAACTTTTTCTGTATTCCTCCCAAAAATAAAGGTATCTAAGACCACGGGCAGGCTTTCAGGTGCAGTACTAAGAATTTCTGGGAAATTCATATTGTGTTGGGAAAATGTTGAGAAGGAGCACACAAGCCCCTGGCCAGACAGCTGTATGGACACCTCAGAGGCAAGCTGTCCAGCCAGGAGGCAATAGGGAGCTGCTCCGTGGCTGTCCCCACCAAGGGGGAAGGCTGTCAAGAAACCATTGGCAGCAATCTAACTGCTCTCCCCATCTCCAACTTCTGAACAACCCTAGGGAGCCCTTGAGACTGTTCAAAAGGTGGGGGGACATTGGAACTGCCACTTGTGCAGTCCCAGAGTGCCCCAGGGTTGCTCAAATGACCATGGCAACAAGGTCCCCACAGGGCTCCCCGACACTGGGTGGGCCATCAGGGAGACACTGTTCTCCCTCCCTCCCTCTGACTGTGAGATATTGAACAGGTGTCACACATGGCACTAGGAAACAGGAAAATTGTTTTTAAAGAGCGAACTGCTTGTGGTGGAATCGCTAGGTTTCATGGAGTTGAAGCACAAGATTTCATGCCATGGAACTGCCTATCCATACCCTAAGAAAGTTAGGTTTCTAAATCATATTCAAATTCAGCGGAAGCTGGGCGCCTAATTCCCTTGGCTAAGTACAGACATTCAAAAACCCCAAGCCTGTGACATAGCCAGACACCGGCCATGACAGTGCCTCAGCAAAGGGAAGGTGAGGAGGGATTAAACTCCCCTGTCTCCCCTCTGCCCCATAGGTATGGGGACCCCACAAATGGAGTCTGCCTGGCTTTCCGTGCCGCTGGCCACTTGTACGGCAGGGGGTGCAGCCAGAGCCCGCTGGTATGGCCCCTGCCATCCACCTGCCTTGCTTGGGGCTGGGGCTAGGGGGTTAAGCCAGGCCAGCCCACAGGCACTGCTGAGGGCAGGTGTGGAGGTTGCCAAGCTGGGCTGGGCCGCAAGGGCAGGGTCCTTCCCAGACAGCTGCGGCTCAGGATGGGGCCACAGGAGTTGTGCACCCAGGCTGCTCCCAGTTCCCTGCACCCAGCTCCCTGCACCCAGCTCCTGAGCTGTCATGGAGATGCAGTGCTTACAAAGAATCTGTCACTCATGATGCAGTTGGTCCCACTCAGCCCCGGGCAAGGCAGACAGATAGCAGGGCTGGCCTGGGATGTGCCACGGGAGCAGGGCCATTCCCAGCCAGCTGCGGCTCCATGACAGCCCAGCCCAGCCAAGCCTGGGTACAAGGAACCAGGAACAATCCAGGTGCCCAGCTCCTGCAGGTCCAGCCTGAGCCACAGCCAGCTGAAAAGGGCCCTTTTCCTGCAGCCCAGCCCAGGCTGGCCCCTCCATGCCCACCTTTAGCAGTGCCTGTGGGCTGGCCCAGCTCAGCCCCCCCAGCCCCAAGCAAGGTGGGCACATGGCGGGCACATACCATCCTGCTCTGGTCACGCCCCCTGACCCTACCACTCAAGGTCAAGGTCAGCAGAGACCCTGACTGGGGCTGCTCCAGTCCAGCCAGGTAGACCTCAGCTGTGGTTCCCCAGGGCGAAAGGGGAGAGAAGGGGGAATAAACCCACGCCATGCCAGCTTAGGGGGCCATGCTGGCTGGCATCTGGCCATGCTCCTGCCCCTGTTCCAGCTAGAGAGTAGAAGGGCAGAACCAACCCAGCTCTCTGAAGCAGACAGGACAGCCCAGCCCCAGACTGAAAAGCATGCTGGGATACTGGGGGACTCTGATTTAACTTAAACAAGGAAGGTCTGGGACACAAGTTCCATAATCTGGTTTAACCCAAATCAGTTAAGTCTGATATCACATTAAATTAGGTTTATCTTAAACCAATTTCAGCCATTTTGAAACTGGTTTATGTGCACTGAACTTCTGTTCTGTTACAGGTTTAAACCAGTTTCTGATCACTTAAACCAGTTAATCTGTACCTTCTGTCCCTAGCCCTTCAGTGGGTTTGAAATTCCCCACCTCATCAAGTATAAGTCAATATACTTAAAAAAAAATCCCTTTTACCTCACAACTTTGCCACTGGTTTGGAATATTTGGCCTAAGTTTTTGTTCACAAACTGCCCTTCTCATGTCTTCTACTGAAGGATCAGAAGGCACAACATCATAAAAAGGCAACTGGTACTCCTCAACAAGTCCTGCAAGAGAAATGTTGTGCAGCTGAAGTGCATAGGTGAAACGAAAGCGGATGCTCCAAAATAACTTTGATTATGCTTCTCACTGACAAAAGAACTCTTTCTAATATGTAACTGTGAATGTATTCATCAATACTTGTTACTCCAGATAGTGTCTACTGCTATTATTACTTTTTAGTGTACAAATCAATATACAATCAAATAGTCACAGCACTGGATAATGTAAATGGACTTGCAGCAAAGTTATGTTCTATTGCCACTAAGATTTGGCTAAAATTGTTATAGGAAAAGCTTCTTGAACTAGAACATATTTAAATATTTAAAAAACCTCTTCAACCTGAAGCTCTGCTACAATGTTTTGCTATTAGTACAGCTACCAAAAATGTGGTTTCAGTGCCCTGAAACTATTTGCAGAAAAAACAAAAATTCCAAGTTCAGTTTCATCTGAACCAATTTTCTGGGTTTTGTTGGCTTTTTGTTTGGCAGCTGCACCAAAGCAATCAATTATTCATATAGCTCTAGTCAAAACACTGTATAATTTTGAAAAAATACAGATACCAAACTTGATCTTAGCCTACAAGAGGCCAAGAAGCAAACTCGCACAACCCCACAGCTCATTCAAATCTTCCTATGTTATGGTCGCCATCTTATTTCTTTCCCACACTCTAATGATATGTACAGAGACCTCCTCTCTTCTTTGATATAAGGAAATGCCAAAAGAAGCCTCTTCCTTTGTATTGTTTGCCCTTTTTCTAAGGTTCCTAGATGAAGCAACAAGGCCATTTCTTCCTGCAACAGGCTGTCATGGGAGGGCTCCCAGAAGATAAATTGGAAAGGCAAGGAAGCAAAGAATAAAACAGGATAAAGTAGCTGTGGGCAATGATTTCTAACTTCCATGTTTTCAATTCTAAGGCAGACCAAAGGTTAGCCTTCCTGGACTGGCTAACTTTGGCTCCTGAAAGTCCCATCAAATTTGCTGATGCACAACTGAAGTTGGACATGTTACTGAACAGGCAGATGTCCTAGTTTCTTCCTAGTCTGATAATCAGGAGAAGCGAAAACTACTTAATGTGATAAAATAGGTTTCTCTGTGTTGCCTGGGGAGAATGACTGTACAGATGGGCCCAAAGCAGGTGGTATGTTGACAATTAATGAGTCTTTTTGCATTACAGACGTCTCTTTCTAGAGCCTGTGCTATTCTTGTAAGTCATCTGGTGCCAGCACTGACGACACAGGTTTGCTGCGTGACAAAGACAAGAGGTTGTTAGGGCACATGGTAGAACTTTACTATTGCTCTGCCCAACAATGCCAGTGCAGTCTCCTACTTTCTAGAACAGGATGCGGATCGGATCTTAAAATAGTGTAAAGGCAGATCCCAGCAAGCAGAATAGGGCCACAGAGTAAAGAAATTTTTCCTCTGTGCCATGTTGGTATCACTAGCCTTACATGCTGTTGAAGAATTAGTGGTTTTCTTCCTAGAGGCCTTAATAGCTTTGCCTAGTAGAAACACACTGATCTTTGCCCTTGTGTTCAGGTGGCCTCTCCTAACACCTGGCTTCAGTGCTGGATGTATTAGTCTTGGCTTTAGTGCAAATAGCAGTTCTGTAGCAGGATAGATCTACACCTGCGGGACTGATGCACAGAGCAATGTCAACTCCTGCTGTCCCAACTGAGGTGGCTGCCCTGGGAGCTCAAGGAGGCACAGGGCACATCCACATTTCCTTTTGAGGAAATCACTGCAAGTCATGCAGCACTCCTGCTTCCATATCCAATCTTCATAATTCAGAGTGGCAAAAAAGAAAAGAAAAAGCACATATACTGAAACAGCATGTTCCTTTAAATTCTTTTTTTTTTAATCAAATCTGAGTTGGGGAAGGTGGGGAGAGGGGAGGGGAAGAGACCAGAAATTTTACCTCCAATTGAGCATCTTCGTGATATCTCCCAGTACACCAGACCAAGAGAGTATATGTCTGCATGCTTGAAAGATTCAAAGATATTTATGTTCATTACATCATCAAGTATTTCAGGAGCCATGTACCTTTAAAAAAATAAAGATACATATACAAACACATATACCAAGTATGTCAGTTGACAAGTTATTACTAAGATCCTAGTATCTGGCATGGGGGTATTCGGAAACAATATGTCGGATTGCCTTAATTACTTGCCATCACTTTTACTGAAATTGATTAGTAGTGCTCAACTGCCATGGCCCACATGAAACCAGTCCGTGGGGCTCCCCACAGGTCCACAAATTCGGTGGTGAGGGAGCAATTAACTCAGCCACCACTCCTGCTGCTGAATTTACAGACTTGTGGAGAACCCTACAGGCTGGATGACATGACCCCAAGGTCCAGATTTTACTGGCACGTTGCGGTCGCTCTGCAGCTGGATCCAATACATGGAGTCAGGTCAGCATGTGGGATCAAGTCGCAAATACATCTAGCCAGTGCATGGGGTCACTGCAGACATATCTGGTGTACAGGGCCAAGCTGGAGTCCTCAGTAACACATATGAACTGCCCTGCTGCTCTGCCTCTACATTGGATCCAGCCTGCAGAATAACCCCACCCGTGGGAGCCGGCCCACAGATCAGCCTTGTGCCATTCATCTGGCCCACGAGGTGAGAAGTTTGGGCACCACTGGCCTTGACAATCGATTTCTATCTCCATTTAGGACACGAGAACACAAAGTTACTAAGGGTGGGAGGACCCACAGCATGTCAGCTGTTCCAGAATAACTGTCTGTATATGCTCCTGGTCTTTCTTCACCGAAGGGCAAGGTAGGGCAGGTTAGCTTTCATCTACCCCAAGGCAAGTGCGTACATATGCAGTAAGTACAGAGCAGCTGACAGGCTGTGAAACCCTACCCTCCTTTACCTTCCCGTAATTTGCTTGCATTTCATGTACCCATACCCTCACTTATTTGATCTGCATTCAAATATATTACTTAGATTCTGAAAAGTCCTAAAAAGGGCCATTTTGACCACATCTGACTATACATTGCACCAATCTAAGAAGTTTGTTTGATGAAAGATTCAAGAATCACCATTTGAGTTGAACCATGCTCTTTGATCCAACCTTTAATAATAGGTCGGGATACCCTATATATATTTTTCTGTAAATAAAGTTTAGCTTGGGTTATTTATTCAAGATGTTCATCTAAAGGCTAAATGTTTTGTGTGACCAATATTTGTGTGTGCCAACACCATAGTCATATAATATACTGCTTCCCCTGCTCCTCCTACAGAGTAATTAAGCTTGCTAAACTTTTGATTAATATTGTAATAATTTTCTGATTTTTTTTATTTTCTCTCTTAAAAATCTTGCACTGAAAAGCTAAGGATAAATTGCTTTTAAAGACTGGCTTAAGTAATGGAGGCAGGTTCATTTCTCAATGTATGAGGGCATTGTTAAGGAGTATGAAAGGCCAAGGCTTGTGGCACAATATGTGTGAAGGCTAGTGTAAAGTATGAAGCTCCCTCAATCTGGTTTGCAAAGAGGTATGAAAAACGGGACTCCTTTTGGAATCAGAAAAGGGAACGGGGAATTTTTCCCTCCTTGTTCAAATTCTAAGATCCTTTTGGTAAAGCATAGCAAGCACCTTAACCTATGAAGTGAAAAGATCTGCTTGAAACAAGCAGAGAGTTCGACTGTCACTTGTATACATCTTTTTGAGTGTGGTGACCCAAAAAAACAGAGACTGAAGAGACACAGTTTTTAACTTGCAAGATTAAGTCAAACAAAAGTCTTCCTATGATGAAAATTTTTTTGGTTTTGCTTAATAACCAAACAAATGCAGGGCCCAGATAGCTACTTCAGCTGAAGAGTTTCATTCCATCTCCATTTATATTTGATCTTGAGGTTTTATTTACTAATAAAGTTTCCCCTACAAGACAAACTGGATTGTATTTAATGACATTAGTGGGCCAAAAGTACTACTGAAACTGAAAGAGAAGTAAAATGTATCCTGATCTCAGTAAAGACTGAGTGAGGAAGAAAGGCAGCAGCTCAGCATGCAGTCAAGGTCGGGAAGGAATTCCCAAATTCTTTTCAAAGAATGTCAGCAGCTGGCTGCTGTCACTCTAGGCCAGTGGTTCTTGAACTTTTTAGATTCAGTTTGAATTCCTATTTGAAATGTCTGGTTTTATCATGCAACAGGTTTACCGTGGCACCCCAGATGAGAATCACTGTTCTAGACAGAACTAGGACCTAGAGCCACGCTTAAGGATTTTATTAACATCTAGATATTTAACATCAATGGATACATAGGCAAACCAGAAGCAGCCAACTTGTTATCTAACATCTGAATGTATAAGCAGGATCATTGTCTATTACGTGGTTGCTCTCTCTTTAAATTCAGAGACATCCCATATAATTTTATGGCCAAGGGAAGGTTTGAGACAATCTCCTTACATGGCTACCTTTGCCCTCTATTGCCATACTGAATTTGAAAGAGCCCTGGCCTTTCATCTTCCTGAACAATTCCCTCATACAATGCCCAGATTTAGGATCTGGATCTGTCCTGTCAAAAGAGTCCAAGCAGAGCTTGAAAGGAAAGCCTGAGAGTGGAAGAAAAGGAATGCTCCTACTTCATACAGTACTTGAAAACTGCACAGAAGTGGAAAAGCCTGAACTCCCTCTGGTGATTCTCCCTAATATCTTTCTTTATCAAATGCATCAAAGCTCTTACCTCTTTGTTCCCACTCTAGGATTCAGAGGTATGTCAATTGTGTTCAATACAGAATCATGCTTAACAGCCAGCCCCAAGTCTCCAATGGCACAGGTTTCATTTTTTTTCACCAGGATGTTTTTGGATTTCATATCTCTGTGTGCAATAGCTGGTTTGCCTGATAACACCACCAAAAACAACAACAGAAGAAAACACCCAGCCATTATAATGAATGTTAATATGGAGAAAAAAAATAAATAAATAACACCCCCTCCCAAAATAAAACAGCCTTGTTGCCATTTTCCTTCTAAGTTTACCACAAATTAGATTCAGCCTGCCATTACTCACCACAGACATACAATAAAAGCTTCTTTCATCCAGACATTCCTTTTACACTTAAATCATATTTCAGGCCACAACGTTTCACATAATCCACACTCCTACTCTATTCAGGCATGCAATAACCCGGTACATGTCACTGGTATCCTAGTGTTTGAATAGATAAGTACTAACACTAGTCAACAGTAGACAGACAGACTCCACTGAGCATATTCAAACACTTCAGGCACACTAAAGCAAGCTTGACCTAAATTTTACAGCATTCTCCTGTGGCACTCCTATTCATCAGACTGGAGACGTGGCAGCTTCAGCTAAATAAACCTTTCATTGAAAACATAATTAAAATGATAATTAACACAATCAATTCAATACTTGTATTGTTTGATATTAAGTTATATTTGTTTTATGTTACTCCTGGTTTATTTTCAATGTACTATAGAACTGTACTCAAGAATAGTAATAACTGGATGGTTTGGCAGTTGACTGCATCATAAGCTCAGCTGAGAATGTTATGTGCTTTTCTTTCCATTTATATGAGCATTGGGAGACAAGTGAATAATGTTTTAAGTATCGCTTTAAAATAAGTACTAATGAATCAAGCTCTTTATCAAAGAAAGCATTAGTGTATCTTGTAGCTAATAGACATTTATGGAAATATCACCTACATTTTCCTCTCATCTTTTTTTAAAGAATATATTATAGAAAAATAAATACCTTGTGTACCAACTATTTCCATGTGAAGATGTGCTAGGCCACTGGCTATTGAAAGTGCCAGTTTAATCATCCCATCTATTGTCACAGTATTTCTGTTTAAATAATCAAACAAGGAGCCTTGGTCATGATATTCAGACACAAGCCAAAGCTGAGTCCAAGTTCCATTATCTACCAAAAGAAAAAAATGTTATTGAACTTTATGTACAAATTAGTTTAAAAAATTAGCAAGACAGAATCAGTCATGTCAAGGTGAAGTGAATATTTTAAATACCAGTTTAACTATATACATTTTGCTCCCTACCATAGGGATGTTTTGAATGCCCAGTTTTAAGTGGACCACCATATCAACTAAAGAAGGCTGTCTTGCATTATGCATCTGGAAAGCTACACAAGATAAAAATAATCACAATACTAATATATTCATAGCCAGCATTTCAAACTTTTTCAGCACTCACCAACCAAACAGGGAACAATGGGAACAATTTTGAATATAAAAGAATAAGCTGTGCTCTGTTTTCCTCATAGCAGTTGATGTCAGTACCAATAACCGAAGCAGCACAGGAAGTGCTTCATTGTTCTGCAGCTTCTGCAAGATCATGATCAAATCCTACAGTCTCTGACAGGTGGAAAACCAGACCTAGGTCTAAACAGAACCTAAAAAGGTCCAAGTATGGAAATCCTGAATTTCAAACATTCCCATGCCATTTTTCTTGGTATGAAATTACATATGGAAATTGATCTAATGCAACAGCATTAGCTCTGGGGAGTATAAAACAGTAATGCAGATTGATTATCACGTTAGGAACAGGAAAAAGCCTTTCAGTATTATTTTACCAGATATCTTCAGATTGACAAACTGCCTAATACTGACAAGACTCATGTAAGCCTTAACTAGGGTTGCCATTTGTCCGGTTTTATACAGGAGAGTCCAGTTTTCTGGTCCTCTATCAATACGATACCGGATGCCTTTATGTCCTCTATTTTTCAATGCTCACCAAATGCAACTGTCCTCTATTCTTTAGGTACCTCGGTGGCCACCCTAGTCTTGACACAAGACACCAAGGCCTATGCTCTGCACTGGGTGGCATACCGGCAGATCCCTACACCTGTGAGGAGCTCCACACAAAAGACATTTCCTTGCCCTGCAGGTCACGGCAGAACCTCAGCAAAGGAATTTGATATCACAGTCAAAGTGACCATTATCCACTTGAACTTTACTAATTATTCCTTCAAACTGTTGCACTCACATCTCTGTGCTTTTGCAAAACAGGGGGGGAAAAATCAAGTTCCTCGGGCTGCCACGTGACAGGAAAAATACTGAACAGAACTAGTTAGAAAATTTATGATAGAACATTCTTCTTTGAGTAAATGATTTGTTGAGGTTAAACAAAAACCTTTCTTCAACAGCTCTGCAACCACCCAGGTTCCTTTGGAGCCCAGTAAGTGAGCTGCCCCAGAGGTGGGACTCCTGGGTCCCCAGCAGCAGAACCAGCAGGCGGTCCTGAACTGGGGCTCCCGGGACGGCCACACTCCGCAGCTCTTCCAGAGCCAGCTTAACAGAAGTTTGGTTCCTTTCAACTCCCAAACTCCCCAGAACCCAGCCCAGCAGGCTGTTCAGATTCCCAGCCTGTCCTTCCCCTGTCATTATCAAGACAGGGGTTTCCCTAATGCCACCCTCCTGCGATACGCCTGGAAGCTTCCTTCCTTCCAAAAGCAGTGCTGGAGGACATGGAGACATGGGACAGTTGGAAGGGGCAACACTGGTATGTTCCTAAAAATGAATACTCCCTTCCACAAGAAATCCCAAGGTTCAAAGTTTTGTTCCAGCTGCGAGTGAAACAGAACCTTGAAGGCTGAGAATTTCCCAGTAGACAGATGGGGTTTTTCAGCCAACTTTCATTGTCAAAAGATGTCTGGAAAGATTATATACCCTTGTTATCAGCAGCAATAAAACCCAGGATATTTTCGTGTCTCAGCATAATTGTTTGATAGATTTCCGCCTCACGAAACCAAGACCTTTCATCCCTTGAAGAGAAGATTTTTACAGCAACATCTTCCCCGCACCATTTTCCACGCCAGACTTCACCAAATCGACCTTTTCCTACTATTTCCTGAAGAACAATAGTCCTTGCAATTGTTCTTTGCACTAGCAGAGGTAAACCTAATAAAGAAGAATAAGGATGCTTTGTTTAAAAAAATGTACTAGAAGTTATTCAGTCAGATTAAAAATAAATTGTTGTGATTACATGGTCTTACAACCAAAAACAAAAACTCACCACCATGCCCACAGACATGCACACAATTTTCTGAGACTATTCTTTCAATTCTATTTGACAGATTAAGGCACTACTCTGAACTGTAAACATTACGGCAGAACAAAATATCATTACACGTAATTTTTAAAAGCCCCCATATTCAATGGCATAACTGAGTGAAAGAGAAGGAAGGGACCAATTTGGGCAACTGTCCTAGGCTGTGCCCCAGTGTTACCCATACCATAGCCAGATTCTTGTGGACACTGCCTTAGAACAACACAGAACTCATTACCAAACCAGGGCTAATGAGCAAACATCTGAAACAGGGTTGTATATCTTGTTTAATTGGTTCTGTTAACAGGGTAATAGAAAGCTGGCTCATGAAATAAGCTTAACCAAGAAAATACAATGTAGCTCAAGACACTTAAACCTGACACATCTACAAAAGGATATTAAGGTGGAAAAAGGCTGAGCTGCATGGGAAGTTTTACATGAGAAATTGTTCCAGCACACAAAAGAGATTTCTTAAGCAAAGACTGATGTGAAAAATCCACAATAAGCTACAGTAATTCTGAGATGAACAAAAATGTTTCATTACACAAAGAATGAAATATGTCTGCATTATAAAATATCCTCTGAAACATATTCACATTGTCACTATTACTAATGATTTTTTTACTTCTATTACAGTGAGAGCAGACAGGTATAAGGATAAGTAAGTCTTCCTCCAATCTATCCAGAAGCTCACAAACTGCAGCAGCACTGAACTAAATCATTTGGCTCAAAGGTCAGACTAAGGCTGTGGGAGTAAAGGCTCTGCTAGCAAAGAAAGAAGAAATCATATTTAGAGGTAAACTGAACCTTCAGTTTTCTAATGAAATAGTTTCAACTTATTTCCTTTTCATGAAGGTATTGTGTACTTGGGTACTGAGAAATATTGGAATAAGTACAATCAATATCCCTTCTACTTTAAAAAAAAAATTTTAAACACCCCCCTGGAAGGGAGGAGGGAGGGAGGGAATTAAACACGTTAAAGAGAGCCCTCAAATGTTAGAAATAATAAAATTAAGATTGCCTGTGTAAATTTAATTTGCCCCCAGGGTTTTTCTGGTCTTTAACTACATGATCACAAACTCATTTTCCACAGCTTTCTGCACCACTCAGTGCACAAGAGAGATGCCACTCATGTTATGAGCAGCTGTTCAGTATTTGTTCTTTTTCCATCGTACAACAGGGGAGCTCCAGACCTTTACTGCACACTGTTCTAACCATTCTCTAAAAACAGAATTATTTATTTCTTTATGGACTTTTCTGTGATGCTTATCACTAGACTACCTGATAAACCAGTATTTTCAGGGAATTTAGCAAATTATAGCACTTTATACAATGCTCAAAGCAAAGCCCCCACTGACTTCAATCCCAGGTGTACTTAAAAAAGAGCAAACCCTGCAGAATCAAAAGTCAGTTGGGGCCAGCTGGCCCCGCTGGAATTTCCTGGCTTCTCTAGTTAATAGAACACAGTGGAACGATTTAACTAGCATGACATCTGGCCACCTCTGATTCCCCTGCCTGAATGATCAGGTATGTGCCTGAATTCACAATACAGCCAAATGGAGCAAGCCCAGGATCTCAAGGTGGCCACCCAGAAAAATGAATAAAACGCAATTAGTGACCACCTGTGAAAAATGTGGCCTATGTAATTTGCCTAGAACTACACAGGAACCTAGTGGCAGAGGCAGGGACAGAATTCAACTCTACAGGGCAGCCTTCAATTGCCTTAACTACAAGACAGGCAACAATTTGGGGGGGTGATAACTTTTATTGCATCAACTGCATGGCTGAGGTAGACATAAGCAAGCTTTCAGGTAGCACAGTATACTGTCTCAGGCTTCTGGGAGAGAAGCAGACAGAGCAGAGCTGAATAGCAGATGGAACAAAAAGTTGTGTAAAACCCCATA